CCTCTAATCGGTTCAATAATCAGGTCGTTAAGGTTTTCAAACGCAATAAAGGGTGCAGGGGTGCGTGGTTAAAGTCACCAGCTATTAGATGCAAGCTGTCAGNTTGGGGTGACAGACGATAGTCAAGCAATCAACGCCATTCTGGGAATACTTAAAAAGTACTTCGGACTTGTCGCACCAATTGGAATTGATGTAAGTGATCACACCGCCTCCCGACTTCTTCCTACACCGTTGTCTGTCTTGTCTGAAGCAGACGAAATTATACAATTGCACCACGGAATCGTCCACATCCTCATTGAGCCATGATTCCTGAAGATACAAGATACAAGAGGTGCGAAATTCCTTTCGCTGGAGCAGGTAGGATAAGTCCGGAAGCTTTCCAAACACAGATGGTAGGCATGGCCATCTTGCTGGGAATAGTACGATTAAGGGCAGTTTGCCAACCGGCAAGAATGCGTTTTCCTCGTTTGCAGTATTTGTGCGCTTGATTGGCAACTGGCACTCCAAACTTGGCAATATGGTTTTTCGCAATAACATCCTTAATTTGTAACATGAACTCCTTTGTATAAATGGTTAAAACACACATATTTAGCAATTTGGGCAGATAAAATCCAGAATACAAAGGCGGCGAGAAATTGTAGCGCAGCCGTTCAAGGGGCGCCCCAACCAGCATAATCTATGGAGGTCAATCACTTGCTCCAGTGGGCGACCGCGGTTACCCAAAACTGTGCACCTAACCACCAGATTCGTGGAATGCGACGTAGGCAGCGGTGCTTAAACAACAACAGTCTATCTTTATAATGCTCCTCAAGCTTTGTATCAAGTAAATGTTCACTTGTGAAGCGATAAATTGCAGTAACTAGAGGGAGATGTTATCAAAAATGAGCTTGTTTGCTATTCGTGTTGTTCTCATTTTCTGCTTGTTGTTATTTTCCTACCATTTTTCCAGCATGAAATCTGATATTTTTAAAATGGCAAATATGCTCCAAAATCATAATAAAAGTTGTGTTTCGAGAAGCACTGTGGATTAGGCGTCATTTTTCGCCAACCTCCTTGAATATTTTCAGTTTTCTTGCACTCCTTTACCTGTTGACAATGAATAGTACGAGAACCAACGCATCACGTGATCTACTGAAGATCAATGCTAACCTTGAATCGATGTTTACGCTTTGATTGTGATTGCAGGTGTTCGTGGATGAAATAATCATGATCTAATAATGGCTTTTCATGTTGGTTCGTCCACGAAATCCATGGAGCTATTGCCAGGCACTGAACTTGGTCATTCACCTGGTCAGTCGCATGACAACGATGAAGATATACAAACGGTTATTAATTACCCCCGACAAAAGCCTTTCGTTCGTTATTTGGAGGAATTAGTCAATCCAAAAATTAGAGATGACAAGCCCACCCTAGTGAAACGAGAACCGCCGGCACATTTGAAAGCTCCGTTACCAGACAGAAATCCATTTCGTTTTATCCGGTTTGAACGAATCAATGAGTTGAAGGAGCGTGATCAAGCGCGAAAGGAAGAAGAGTTGTATCGATTTCGTGTGGCACACGATATCAGTGAGAAACTTCCAATGTGGATTCGACAACGGCACACGGCAGCAGCCAATTTGAGAAAACTGATTCACGAAGAAAATGTGAAAGAAATGAACACGTACGGCAGACTATTTGAACCAAACAGTTTAACTGCACAACCAGTTGGGAGTAAGTTGTGTAAGTTTACCCAGCCAATCCTCCGAACTACATCTCGAAGTCATAGTGTAAGCATTCGGGCTCCGGAGGAGGAGGCAACCATAAACGATCCAAAGTTCGCACTGACAAATGAAGAGACCAAATCAATGGACCTAGAATCGGACAGCAAAAATGATATGTCCCACGAGGAGAATGAGCGTATGTCTTTGAAAAAAAGCGACGAACGGGATGTGATTAAACTGGCCAAGGATGCACATGCGTTGCAGAAACCAAACAAAGCGTACGAGGGTGTGAGACAATTTGTGCAGGATAGAAGACGGGTTTGCCTTTTGGAACTAGCCGTGCGTACAAAACGAGGGGAGGTCAAGCGATTGGATACTATTTTACAGGCAGAAAATGAATTTCTCAATCGGGAAGAACACGAGCTGCTTCGTAGACACGAGGAGCATGATCGTTATTTGAAATCAATCTGTCAGCGTACGGCGGAATCCATTCGTCTGGCTGAGGGAGAGGCGCGCAAACGAAATGAGATCAGTGAGAAGATCAAACGAGCTCGTTATCGGTTGGCTCATTTGAATGCGGAATGTGTTAAACTAGAAGAGGAATATTTACGATTGAGTACCTATAAGGAATTTTTACACAAAGTGGCTGAAACCTTTCGAGAACATCATACACAACTAAAACCCCTATTGAAATCGAAAGCTGAATCTGTTGGCTACACCAATTTGACTGCCACTTCGGACAAACTAACCACTGGCCCTTCGAGTATGACAAACCTTTCAGAAAATGAAATCGGCACTAGGGAGAGTGGAACTGATATTGATTTCGAGGGCTCTCAAATGACCGATAGTTCAAGTAACGGCCCAGCTGAAGAGGACGGATCCCTTATTGATTTTTTTACCAGTCCACAGGATTTGGTGGATATTTTATCCGAATTAGAAAGCAATAACTTAACCCTGATCGAGAATGTACAGGAACAGGAAGAAGTTTGTGAGCGTGTGCGAGCGAAAGCGGCTAAGCTATATGCTCTGCTCAATGTGGAACGCAAGACTGTAGACGACCATATTGCACGTGAACGAGAGAATATTAGTGGAATTCAGGAGAATGTAAACAGTATCACGACAGCACGGAATGCTTTAAGTGACTTTGTTCTACTCGAACGATATGCCAAAGTGTTCTACCTCGGTGAAATGAATCAGTTTGAAAATCTGGATCCCACTGCCTTGTTGACCAATGCGGCTTCGCCCACACCAGCAAAGAATACCGCATCGGGTAACCGTTCCGCGACCAAGGGGACGGGCACACTAGCAGAACAAGTAGAAGCAAAACCAACCATCTCCAATTTGCTCAGTCTCTTACAAATTCAAATTCAAAAAGTCTATTCAGCCGTGTACGGAACCAATGAGGGTGGAGCTCGACTGGACACACTGGTAATGCTGCGTCGACTGGAGACGACAGTGGATGAACTGAGTGAGATGTTGAATGCCTACCCACGTCATCTGGTACTGAAAGCCAAAAGAACAGTGGACGAACGGAATCGCGTGAACGCCAGACGTCGACAAAAAGTAGAAACGCAGCTAGCTTATGAACGTCGCCTAGAGCGTGCCATTAAAAAGGCACGGGAACCGCCTCGATGGCGTTTCGGCAGAAGGGTGCTACAGCGTTCACGTCCACCAGAAGTCAAACGCACCGTTCATGTCGGTGCTGTATCTGTCGAGCCCGAGGATGATAGCAAAAGCCTGTTTCAGTAGATTGGATTTTTTCAACCTTAATGGGTGTTTTACATCAACTGAACCAACAGTGCCAAATCATAATTGATCCATTCATTAGAAATGTGAATCAGCTAATATCCCCACTAGATTAGCTATGTGGTGGTTGCGAAATTGACCCCAAAACAAATAAAGCGATTTATCACATAATTGCAGGTGTTCCTGATCATTCGTTTCTGGAAAGAAGGAACTCAAATGCTTTTGGGTAATGGCTTTATTTTTTTACCGTGAACTAAAGTGTTCAATCAAGTGATATGATCTTGGATTACTCACATGTGTGTATGTGCACAGGATAAATCTCTCGTTTTCTGTTATGGGATTCTCTCTTTCTAATCGCAAATCATATGGTATATTAACAAATGATTCTTTGACTCGTTCGTTGTCGTTATATTGGAAAAGCGCTCGGTCCAGTGCCATGGCGAATCAGGAATGACTACTTGAGTAAAAGAGAAGGGCTGGTTAGTTGTCCCTAGTCACCAGATAGTTGTAATCCCACCGCAATAAAATAAAGTAACAAATTTATGAGCGAAACTCCAATCTAGTGCTTCTGAGTGTATAGTTGACTGGAAGAGCTGAGAAATATGAAGGTGAAGACTAAAGGATAGTCAGTTCCAACAATTCAATATTAATTATCCCACATCACTACTCACAACAGACTGTGAGTTGAATCGGAATTACTAACCCATCCGAGTAGGTTGATAGCGAGTTCGCCGGTAACCTGCGTGGAAGACCTCACTTGGTAAGAGATTTTCGATTGGAGTTAACAGCTATTCAACTTTGTCTCCCTTCGTTGCTTTCGGGCCAAATTGGACTGGCTGACTGCCTCTGAAAATCACCGCTGAACACGCATGAATTGTCAATTCTGTTCAGCTGGTTGGCACAGAGTGGTAACGCACACACCTTCCATGCGATGGATCCGTAGTGCAAAACCCGGACGGGACGCTGGCTATGCACCACGGATCAACTCTTATAATAGCGGGACTCGAGTCTACTGCTTCCCGCGTGTTTGGCTGACTGGAAGAGCTGAGGAGTGCCCGTGAAGATGAGGTCAGTCTCAATCAATCATTATCAATTATCCCACATTACTACTCACAAGTAACTACGAGTTAAAATGTGAAAGTTCCGGGGAGGGTATACGATTAAGGAGATCTTGCGAAATAATTAATTCAAAGGAGACATTTGAACAGAGTTTTGTTTTCGATGGTTCTTTGGATTTGGCACAGTAGTTGTTTGCACACAGTGATCAAAACATTTACACCAATACACTGTTAAACACAGATTAACCAGTGTGAACTTCATCCGTATAGAAATTGCTATGCGTATAAAAGTGATTAGCTATCCAGTTCACCATGTCTATTCTCTATGGTTTTTCCGGTTCTATAGTCGATGAAATGCACTAAATGGAAACCGGTGTCATCTTTATTGCTCTCCGTCAATGTTAACCAACAAGAAGCACTAAAATAGTTTACCTACACATAAATGAATTGATTTGATTTGATAGAAAGCATCTTTACGTTTGTTTGATATGTTTGATAAGTTTTTGCACCTTCGTAAAATGTGTTTACCTTCACCAACGGTACCATAAATAAATCAATGAATAAGTGGGTTCCCGAGAGGAACTCAAAATGGAGCTAACTGGACAACCTAATACTTCTCAATATGCGTTTCTCATCTACATCTTTATGGAAAATCTTGTGACTTCATATAAAAATCTAGCGAACAATCAATATGATTAACAATAAATCTTGTCCCTTAAGCCGTGTCCATTTTATTCAGTTGAATCTTGCACACAACAAACAAAGAATGAACCGACCGTGCTGCCTGCATACAGTCGATGTGCAGCATTTATCAACTTTACATAGGAATAAGGTGAAGTCCTTCCGAAAAGGTTCTACCCATTCAATCAAAGCTACAAGTGTTAATCCGTCGATATGAAATCCAACAAGATAGAACATCTAAAATGATGCCTACACTTTTTAATAAATAAAATTAAGAATAAAATAAATTTTATTGTAATCGTCACAAAATTTGCTTCTTAAGTGGAACCACAGGTGTTTTCATCATTTGCTAGCCATTGTCCATCTTTTGTTTGCCACTGATGATAATTGATTGGCCGCTAGCGATTATTTATTGACTTATGGCGAGCGTTTAGAAGCCACAAAATGTACTTTAACACTCATGGCGAGTGGAAAGTAAACAACCCATAACGCAGAACATCCATAGCGTCTCAGGCTTGGACTTGGTTGCATGACTTGGAATTTGATTAAAGCATTTCGTACCCACGATATACACTTTCTGGGATTAAATATATTGACTGGGTTTAAAGCAGTATAGAACAAGATAAGCACACCAAATTTCACGACCCTACTAAAAACATTTCTAAAAAAAGTGAGCAAAAACCGCGGAGGCGGATTGACTGAAAAGCGACTAAAGTGCGTTAATTTTTGGTGTGGACTTATGCAAAGGTTAGAAAGTAGCCCAATAGAGCGAAGAGGACCGGCCGATGGTTTTGGGGGCAGCAAACGCGATAACTCAACCGTCGAAGTTGAAAGAGGCTGTTCATGTGGGCCTTATTGTCACATACAGATTGGTGGACTGTTTTGTTGGTACAAATGGGGAAGTTTGCAACGCTCAGAAGACTCACTTGTTTGATGTCTTGGAGCTAAAAAACTACTTGGATGGAAGCTTTGGGGAACGAAAGTAATCACAGGGAACAGTACAGTATCCATATCTCCTGGTTTGTGAAGCATTCTTGAGAATTTTTCTCGTTTGCGCAATTGAACTGAACAAGATCGAACCAGTAGAGTCTGACAATAGGAATGTTGCACGTAGAGCACAACACACCGAAAGCGGGCGCGATTTAATTCCGGAATCATTTGGCTGCATCTCAACTGGTGCTTGCACTGCAGAATACCAAATGGGTTTTATATCACCGATATTGATGATCTAACATGTTATCAATTCACTCTTCCGCTTACCAGAGCATTGCTGGACTGATGAAGACCTTTCGCTGGCAAAGCAGAGGCTTTCGGCGCTTGATTGCGCTATGGCGTCTGCAAACGTTAGCAACCGTCCATTCGAGGTTGTGTAAACAACCCGAAAAGAAGTTCCGCGGTCTGCTCGGTGGCCAGTCTGCAGCAGATAGCGAGCAATTAACGACGCAGGTATTCTGTGCTGCTGGCTTGATGGGCTGATTGTTTGTGTAACCCTCAATCTAATCTGTTCACGTCCGACCCATGCTGGCATGTGTTCTGACACTCGAATGTGCAACTGTCTCTGTGTTCTTCCACGTAAGTGGCTCCTCACCCATATTGAAATTCCCGTGGGTTCTGGCGGACAGAGGGAGCAGTGATTTCACCCAGGGCTTCTAAATCTGGGTTTTCTTGAGGCGAACGAAAGGAATTGCAGCAAATATGTGTGGGCTACAGGTTCCACCAGCCATCTTCGTACGAGCTGGTCTATGTTGTTACGACCTTGGCAACTTGCCATTCCGTTTGAATGTGAATCGTGTTCATGTCTCACTGGACCACTTGGTTCATGGTGCCTGCATTTCTTCTCTTTCAGATTGTCAGTCAACTCCCTCTCCACGGAGAACATCCTGTCTGTCGACGGTTCCAACCCACACCTAGAATCACTCCATTTGCGGTTGTCTAGTGTATCTGTTCACGGGAGGCATCCTGCTGTACACACGAGCCAAGCATCTCAAAACATGCATCTACCTTGAAGAGTTGTTGGATTAGAACGTCACATTTTGGTACTGCCAGCCCCGCGATCTTGGGTTCGACTTTTACACTGTACCTTTGTATAAACCTTGCGGGGTAACCATTGAGCTTTAGCGCTTCCGTGAGCCGAATGAGCTCATTTTCCACATTATCCGAAGTGCACAGCTCGGTCGAACAGTGTACGCGCGAAACCTCGTTTTTGTTGGATTAGAGCAAAACTCTCAAAACGCATATACTGGCCGGTCCGGGTGGACTTTTGATGCACTCACCTCGAAATAGTCTCAGATGATTACCAATGCGTTATCGACTTATCCCCTGTAGAGCACAATGGTTTGTTTTCGAGAGTAGCCATACAAATGTCAGATGGGATAGGACCCAGCTGGTCACCCTTCCCTTGCACCTCGCGAAATGCGACCAAGCGTCTTGATTAGCCTCTGCTGAGGAAGTCCTACTCACTGCCTTCTTGTGGCAGAGGTATTTCCTCACCAAAGTGAGAGGACGAAAAGCCGACATCCGGCGCTACAACCAGGTTGGTTGACCACTGGCAGTTCACCTAGGGGAGTTGACCAAAAACCCTGATTACGAACCAACCACGACGAGGCGTACAAACCACACTCACACATTTCCGGTTGTGGCAACGGTTACCGGTTCAGTTGGGCATCGAGGTGTATTGGGCACCTTGTACCTTGGGATAGGATCCAACGGGCTGCATAAAGCCAAGCCACTGACTTATCTAAACCGCTGACCTCAAAACTGTAGTGCATATCCGTTGGGCATAGGATTAGTAAAACGTTCCGGGACAGAAAGTGGAATGCCCAACTGGATTTGTATCTCTAAATCGTTGTCACAGATGATTTGTATAGTTCCCACAACGGGCACATCAGTGAACAAAGAGAAACGATATCGAAAGTTGCCATATGACTGTCATTTATGTTCAGTTCATCGAGAACCTTTGTGTTTAGTTCAGTCCACTTTGAGCAACCATTAGGCACGCATTTCCGTGCGTCACTTTTGATTGCTGTCTTTTGGCTGCTCATTTGGATGAACAACAGAAGGAAAACAAGAAGAATTAGGATCGAAGAGAAAATTGAGAAGTTCAGTGGAATAATGTTGCAAGGAAATTGACAAGATGCTCGAGCGCCACTGTTTACGACACCCAGCCATGTCACGCAGTGTTGATCCAGACATACGCGATCACATTCCAAGTACGACCAGATGTAAATTCATGTCATCCAATCAAAGTTCAGGGAGCTAGACCAA